TTATGGTTTCTTGAAGTAGCTTTTTATAGTTTTCTTTGTAGAGGTCTTTTGTGTCTCTGGTAAGATTTATTCCCAAGTATTTTATTTTTTTGGCAGCTTTTTTTTAAAAAAAAGATTTAGAAATGCCCATTAGAATATGTGCAGTGGTTGTTATCACCTTAGACTAATACCCTGGAGATAATGGTGAAAAAGTTTTTTAAGAAATACTATATAACAATAGTCCTATAAGTTTATGTGTATGATCTGAATTCCCAGGTGTACAGTAGAGCTGACAAAGGGCAAGGTTGTAGTCACTGCTTGGTCACAGCCAGCTACCCAGAGGGACTGAGTAGTTGAACCTGTGGGCTCGGGACCATAGTTGCAGGAGACATCAAGCTCAATTGGCATAACATACTATACCAAACATTGTTCCACCTCCTACTTTGGCAAGTAGCGACTGGGATCTTAAAAGCTAGCAAGCTGCCAACTAGATGCAACAATGGGTCTCTCCTCATCCAGAGCAAAGAAGAATGAAGAAAACCAAAGATTCATAGAAATAATTAGTCCTCATGGCTGGTTCACCATGTGATTCTCAGCCTATACAGCTATGAGACCAGAAGAAATAGATGGTCCCCAGCTACCACTGTCAACCACTTAGAGGGGGATCTATGTAGGAGATCCTAGATAGAGAGGGAGAACAAAGTGGAACAAAACTCAAAATCACTTGGAGAAAATAAAAGGGGGGGACCAGGTTTGCTGGTCTGAGAGAGCCCAGTGGAACCACTGAGACTGTGGTCCCTAGCTGCCCTTCAGGTCTGGAATTGAACCCACACCTCTGGCTTCCAGCCAAACAAAAGACATTTACCTGAGGTAGATACACTCCTTGGAGATAACAATCAGGGGAGAAGGAAGGGCTGTGTATGCACAGGGAGACAGTTAAGGGGACAGGAGTGCATGGAGGAATGTACACAGGGAACAGGTAAGTATCGGAAAGAAGTGAGAGGGGAGCTGTTGCATTGGGGTAAATTGTACTGACTGTCATGAGACAACATGTGTGAACTGCTGTATGGAAAATTAATTTGCTCTGTAAACTTTCACCTAAAATTTAAAAAAAAAAAAGAAAAGAAAGAAATACTGTATAACCAAACATCATGATGACTCTGAACAGAATATTATATGGAAAAATACCAAAATCAAGTAATCTGATTCTAAAAGTGATTCAGAAGGTTATAAATACATTAACCAAATTATTTTATTTATGTTTTCTTCTGTATTTTGGAAGAGACTGATATGTGATATTTTTAAAAACAATCTGTGTTTATATAGGTCTAAAAGTTTTACATGCCTGTTTCCATATGTATAAAATAAAAATTTAAGTGTCTCTAAAAAAAAAGTATGACTGTCTTAATGGACTGTTCTTTAGATGGTCTCTAAATTCGAGAGGGATATAATCAAGGTCATATTTTGGCTCTGATGGACTTGTTTTAATAGTCTTCAGTTTCAACTTGAACTTGCATATGAGCAGTTGATGGTCTGTTCTACAATTAGCTCCTGGCCTTGTTTTGGCTGAAGACACTGAGCTTCTCCATCACCTCTTGCCACAGATGTAATCAGTCTGATTCCTGTGTACTCCATCTGGTGAAGTCCACGTATTAGCTGCCGTTTGTATTGTTGGAAAAAGGCATTTGCAGTGAATAAGTCATTGGTCTTACAAAATTCTATCATGCATACTCCAGTGTTATTTCTGTTACCACATGTAAATAGATTTGATGCATTGGACACCACTGACCAAAAACCAGAGGAATTGTAGGGATGACATTAAGAATATCATCCATGAAGAAAGCAAAAGGTCATTAAAAAGATGGGAAAGGAAGAAAAGACCAAAATGGATGTCAGAAGAGACTCTGAAACTTGCCCTAGAATGCAAAGTACCTAAAGTAAATGCAAGAAATGATAAGATAAAAAAGAGCTGAATGGAAGATTTCAAAGAGCAGCTCGAGAAGACAAAGCCAATTATTGTAATGAAATGTGCAAAGACCTGGAGTTAGAAACCAAACGGGAAGAACATACTTGACATTTTTCAAGCTGAAAGAACTGAAGAAAAAATTTAAGCCTCGTGTTGTAATATTGAAAGATTCTTTGGGCAATATAGAATCTTTCAGTATTGCAATGTGAGGCTTAATTAAGGAGCTCTGATGGCGTAGTGCCTAAAGTATTTGACTGTTAACCAGAAGCTTGGCAGTTCAAACCCAGCAGCCACTCTGCAGAAGCAAGACTGGGCAATCTACTTCTGTAAAGATTTACCGCCACACAAATACAAAATGGGTCACTGTGAGTCAGAATCAAATCGATGGCATTGAGTTTGGTTTTGGTTTTATGGGCAATATTGAATGATGCAGGAAGAAACAAAAGGACATGGAAGGAATGCACAGAATCAGTGTACCAAAAACAATTGGTCAGTGTTCATCTATTTCAGGAGCTGGGATAAGATCAAGAACCAGTGGTACAAAAGGAAGGAATCAAAGCTGTACTGAAGGAATTGGGGAAAAACAAGGCTCTGGGAATTGACGGAATACCCATTGAGATGTCTCACAAAATGGATGCCGCACTGGAGGCACTACTTGGTTTTGCCAAGAGATTTGGAAAACAGCTACCTGGCCAACTGACTGGAAGAGATCCATATTTGTACCCATTCCAAAGAATGGTGATCCCACAGAATGTGGAAAATATCGAACAATATCATCAATATCACATGCAAGCAAAAATTTACTGAAGATAATTCAAAACGGCTGCAGCAATACATTGGCAGAGAACTTCCAGAAATGCAAGCTGAATTCAGAAGAGGACGTGGAATGGGGGATATCATTGCTGATGTTAGATGGATCTTGGCTGAAAGCAAGGAATATCAGAAAGTTGTTTACTTGTGTTTTATTGACTATGTAAAAGCATTTGATTGTGTGGATCATAACAAATTGTGGATAACATTGAGAAGAATGGTAATTCCAGAACACTTGATTGTACTCATGAGGAACCTGTACATAGACCAGTAGGCTGTTGTTCAAACTGAACAAGGGGGTACCACATGGTTTAAAATCAAGAAGGGAGTGTGTCAGGGTTGTATCCTTTCACCACACTTACTCCATTTGTATGCTGAGCAAATAACCTGAGAAGCTGGATTATTTGAAGAAGAATGTGGTATCAGGATTGGAGGAAGACTAATTAACAGCCTGCAATATGCAGATGACACAGTTTTGCTTGCTGAAAGTGAGGATGACTTGAAGCCTTACTGATGAAGATTGAAGACTGCAGTCTGCAGTATGGAGTATACCTCAATATAAAGGAAACGAAAATTCTCACAACTGGACCAATAAGCAGCATCACAATAAACAGAATAGATTGAGGTTGTCAAGGACTTCATATTACTTGGTTCTACAATCAACACCAGTGGAAACAGCAGTCACATCAGATGATGTATTGGGCAAATCTGCTGCAAAAGACTTATTTCAAGTGCTGAAGAGCAAAAATGTCTCTTTGAAGGCTAAGGTGCACCTAACCCAAGCCATGGTACTTTCAATTGCTTCTTATGCACATGAGAGCTGAGCTGGACAATGAATAAGGAAGACCAAAGAAGAGTTGATGGTTTTGAGTTGTGACATTGACAAAGAATGCTGAGAGTACCATGGACTGCTAAAATAAATAACAAATATGTCCTAGATGAAGTGCAACCAGAATGCTCTGTGGAAGCAAGAATGGCCAAACTTCGTTTTACCTACTTTGGTCATGTGAGAAGGAATCATTCCCTGGAGAAGGATATCATGCTTGGCATAGTGGAGGGTCAACAAAAAAGGGAAGGCCCTCAACAAGATGGATTGACACAGTGGCTGCAACAATAGGCTCAGGTGTAGCAAGAATTGTGAGGATGGCTAGGACTGGGCAGTGTTTTGTTCTGTTGTACATAAGGTCACTGTGAGTCAAAGATGACTCAATGGCACCTCACAGCAACAACATCTTAAATGAGTTGTTCTGGTTACCTAGTGCCACTCTGACAAGAATATACCACAAATGGGATGGCCTTAAACAGGAGTTTATTCTCTTACAGTTTGGAGGCTTTAAGTCCAAGTTCAAAGAGCCAGGCTCTAGGGGCTATGTGAAAGCACCTCAGCCTTGGGCTTTAGCTCTGCCTCTTGCTTCGAGCCCACTGAAGCTAGAGGCATCTCTTCACTTAGGCAGCTACTGGCTGCTAAAGCTAACAAGCCCAAGGTCGACAAATAAAATGGCACAGTCCCAATGTTACCAAACCACACAGCAGGCTATTAATTCAAGCCCATTGTAAGTCCCAAGGTTGGCAGAGCATGGCAGGCTGCTAAACAATGACTTGGCTACATCCAGGGTTCAAGCATGCCATAACCTCAAGAATATCTCCAAGGCTTCTCCTTATATACAGGAAGCAGACCACATCCCAAGGCAGCTACTCAGCTGCTTGTGGTAGATCCCACTATGGAGTTGATTGCCAGTCTCATCGTGGGGAGTAACTACCACCAGCTGCCCAGCCACTCAACCAGGCCCAGCCAAGTTGACATACAAATTTAACTACCACAGGAGTGTTGGTGACACAGTGGTAAAAGTACTCAGCAGCGATTTCCCCATAAGCCACACTTCTATTTCTAATAAATCTTCAAACACTAAAAAAAAAAAAAAAAAGTACTCAGCAGCTAACTGAAAGTTCAGTGGTCTAACCCACACCACTTTACAGGAGAAAGATGTGGCAGTCAGCTTTCATAAAGATTTACAGAGAAGTGCACAAAACTTACAACAGAGGCAAATATTGTTACATATACAATACTGCATTATCAATAACAACAAACACTGGCCTATGGGGTGCATTCATAGACAGGTGAAAAGATCAGGTGTGGGTAGGCAAGTATGGTAGGGAGTATGCCTATAAATGTAGATAGATTTGGCTGATAATATTCATACATGTGTATTTGTGCTACAGAAATATCCATATACATTATAGAACTAACAGGACAGGGTTGGAGTAGCTTCTCAGTGACAACCAAGCATCTTGAGGGAATGAGTCACCCAGTCTGTGGGGTGTTGACCATGGTCTCAAGGGGCATCAAGCTCAGTTGGCACCACATAGTACATAAAAACACTGTTCTACATCCTACTTTGGTGAGTAGTGGCCAGGGTCTTAAAAGCCTTTGAGGGGCCATCTGAGATGCAACTATTGATCTCCCCTCATCTGGAGCAAAGAAAAGTGACTAAAATCAAAGTCATGGAAATAATTAATCCAAGGCAGTAATGAACCACAGAAACCTCACCCTTCACAACCCTGAGACCAGAAGAACTAGATGGTGCCCAGCTACCAATGCCAACCACTCACACAGGGATGAAAATTGGAGATCCTGCATAGAATGGGAGGGGAAAATGTGGAACCAAATTCAAAAACACAAAAATGACCAGAATTACTGGTTGGGTAGAGGCTGGTGAAACCCCCAAGACTATGGTCCCTGGTTACTCTTCGGGCCTGGAACTGGACTCACTTCCATGGATTAATTCTCAGCCAAAGAGTAGAAAGGTCTATGAGCTACAAACAGTTACCCCAGGGAGGTACACCCCTTGGATCAATTGACTGTGAGATCAGAAGGACAGCATTTGCATAGAGGAAAAGATGGACAGACGGAAATGCGTAGATAAGAAGGACACACAGAAGCAGTAGTCACAGGGAGAGAGGATGGGAGGAGAGCTGTTTATTGTTGGGATTGTAATTGGTGCCATGAACAAAAAAATGTATATGAACTGTTGAGAGTAAAACGAATCTGGTTTGTAAATTTGCACCTAAATCACAAGTTGATGGCAATGGATTAAACTATCTTGAGTCAGTGAGTTCTTCAATCAGTAATCAGCTTTTCCCAATGTAATAGGCTATCGATATTATGATCCATTTATCACACTTAGTTATGTGTTGTTATCTTGACTGTTTTTCCAATGAAAATAGACTATCTTTAGTTATTTCACTTAAAATTAAATCTAGTATAAATTTTATGACCAGTTTTAGTATAAAATGTATATTTAAAGTATCTGAATTAACTATATTAACTATATATTACCTTTTTTAAGGAATATATATTATATTAAAAAGTAAAGAGAACTTGTTTGAGAAATAAATTTTTGTGCATATTATTATAAACTATATATTTTTTTCTCTTTTTTTCATATTTCCTTTAAAGTGAGATTATATAGTAAAGATGATGAACCTGCTGTAAAATTTCAGCTACTACCACATAAGCATGATATCATCACACTTCTAGGTGTTGGAGGCCATTGGGTAACAAGAGAAGAAAACCTTCAGGTATTATCAGAAACAATAAAGCATTGCTATTACACCAAAGAGATGTAAGTAACAAAGAATGCTTAAGTCTGTTTTGAAGCAAGGTCTGGCTAAGTTAATAAAAATCCTGATTTATGCCTTATTTTTTAAAGAAATGTAGCTTTTTTACTTTAAGCTACATGCTGACCAACAAAATGTTGAAATGCTGCCTAGTATAGTAGCTCCTTTAACTGGAATGATTATAATGAATTTCATTTAGTGGTCTAGAAGGTAGTGACTTCTACGTTCTTCAATAGGATTATTTTTTTTTCTTAGTAACATTGTTTACATGTACTTAGCAAAAATCTTCTATGTAGAATTACAATTTAAAGAATCTACAATTAAATTGAAATTAACTGTATATTTATTATCCCTCAAAGTTAAAATTTTCAACAGAGTTCCAATTAAGTATACACACACACACACATACTGATGTGCAAATACCATCATTCTCATATCCTAATCTTGATTTTACAACATCCTGACAAAGGTGACTGGTCAGTAGTGGCCAGAAAACTCTCTCAGAGATACACACACACACACACACATCACTACCACCTTATCGTTAGGATTCTGAATTAACCCTTCATCTTCCCTGAATATATCACCTTGCTGTTTCATCAGTTTGAACCAGGAATTAGAAAACATTGTAGTTAATACAGTGTTATTAACATTGTGTGCTGGTTGTTTGTGATTTGGAGATTGTTTAATTTATGTACAAGTTTTCCTGGCTCAAGATACCACTCATCCTTTCTGCTGTTAAACTCAAAGTGATTGATCAGTCTTTGTACATTATATCCAAGCTGGATCCTCCTGATAGCCACTGCCTCTTCCTCAAGGGAGCAACAGTATCTTTCCTTAACGATGAAGTTTGGAATTTGTCAAATGTACAACAGGGAAAATATCTTTATATCCTTTTTTTAGTAAGTTGCATTTCTAGCTTGAAATATACCTTGTACTCTAATCTTTTGAGTGTTTTAATAATAATGATAATAGCTAATTTCTATTATGTATGCCAAACAATCTTCAAGTTGCTTTGCAGGTATTATTTCATTTAAACATTAAAACAACCCTATGAGGTATAAGTACTATTGTTACTCCTATTTCACAGGTGAAGAAATTAAAGCATGCAGAGGTTAATATATGTTCAAGGACAAAGCTAGCAAGTGGCAGGATAGGAATCATATCCTAGCAGTCTCTACTTTCTGAATAGATGCTATAGCATAAAATACATAGAAGGCTTGTTTTGTTTTTCACCTGACATGAAAATTACAAATGCCACCTTGAGAGGTTATATACTTGCTCCTATAAGAGGGCAATTGCAGAAAAAATTTTATAATATGTACCTAAATTTAAACAGTTTGTTGGGCACTTTTACAAATAATCTATGCTAGGAAATCTTCATGGTATGAGGATGAAACTTCATTTTAAAAACAAATTATTCAGAGACAAATCTGGTGAATTAAGCCAAATCAATGCCAGTTTTGATAAAAATAATGAAAAGTTTTCTTGCAGGACTATGAAAGCAATTCCGTAAAGGTAAGTCTGGAACTTTTTAGAGCATCATCAACTTAATAATAAACTCTTTATTTCTAATATTACCATTTTAAAGGCTGATGCAGTTGGCAAAAGTTTTTAATATGTTGAACAAAAAGTAAGTTCTCATTACTTAATACAGTATATGTGTACGTGAAGAGATTTGCATAGCCTTATGTTTTGTCTCAAGTCTCATACTTTCCCTGTTACATGTAGTTACATATGTATGATAGCATAAAGGTCAGTGCCCCCAAGGACCTATGACAGACTTAATTTAAAGCTTTAAATAGTAAGGTTTAACTAATACACTGCATATATTAAGTTGTTGTTGTTGTTGTTGTTATGTGCCGTCGAGTCGGCCCCGACTCATAGCGACCCCTCCTTGGGTTTCCGAGGCAGTATCACTAC